TAATTTAATAATTATTTTATATTTTTTTATTTGTTTCAAACTTTAATTTCGTTCCGACACCGATCCGAATATACTTTCGATGTCACGACAATATGGGCAGTAGACATTTCAAAATTTACATCTACGTCCAATATATCGGTCCGTATATATTTTCAATGTCATGACAATATGTGTCATGCCCCAAAACCTGAATTCGAGGCGCAACAGACGCCGTGCACTCGTGAGACGGGTCCCACAAGTGCACAAGGCTCGAAACTTATTCAAATCACAACTAATACCATCAAAATCTGAAGATCAAATTATAAAATCTCTCTGATATCATAAATCTCCAATAAAATCTCCAAATACAAGATCATGATTTATTTCTAAATCTATGCTCAATCTCGAAATGGCTAGCCTTCTAACTCGTCACTTCCCGTGGTTTCCCCGTCCTCGGTTTCACTTCCTGAAATGGTGGACAAGGAAAACTATGAGATAAACTCAGTAAGTAAATATGGATAGCCCTTGGGTAAAAATGTAAGCATGCCAAATAAACCATGTAAGTATAACAGAACTTTCACTGATAAACCGTTAATGCGGAAATCAAGTTCGGTTCAATAGCGAAACGTTCAATGACAAAACCGTCAATGCAAAATCAGATTCAGTTCAATAACAAAACGTTTCATGACAAACCGTTAATTAAACTCATAGCATGCCAACAAGTGTAATCACGAAAACAGATACAGTACGGGCACGAAATAGACGTCTCCTCTATTGGTCACGGCCAGTGTTTAAACCTCCCACTGGCAGGCTACAGGAATTACTAGTGTTTAACCCCCACTAGTAGGGTTACAGGAACGAACCGGTTCTATCAATAACATATCGACATGCGCCGACATGTGCTAGCGTTTAACCCCCACTAGCAGGATCATCAATAACATATCGACATGTGCCGAGATGTGCTAGCGTTTAACCCCCACTAGCAGGATCATCAATAACATATCGACATTGGCCGATGTAATATCCCAAATTTTCGGGAATATTTAAGTGTAAGTTAGGGACTTGATTGTGAGAAAAGTTTGTTTTGGGGCCTAATGTGAATATTTCAAAAGTTGAGGGACTTAAAGAGGGAAAGATTTTGGATAAGGATGACTTCCTTTCTTTTTCTTTTTCTTTCTTTCTTTTCTTCCCAGCCATTCCCGATTCTGCTCTTCTTCTTCCCGCTGCAGCCACCCGAAGAAAAAAAAGAGGAACCCAGCCATGCCTTGTAAAATTGGTGAGAAAGCTTGGAGATTTCTCCTTCCTTCTTGCTCTAGAACCTGAATTGGAACCCAGAAACCTTCTTCCCCTGCTGGAAAAGCCGGATCTGCCCTGCTCTGCTTTGTCCTTCCGCCGGCTGCTCTTGATTGTGGGTGATTTCTAGGCATTTTTTTTGGTAAGAACAGCCCCTAATTCCTTTATTCTTGCTTGAATTGGCTTGGGTTAACTTTGATTGCTCTTGTTCCTCCAATTTTGGGTAGTTCCGTGAGCTTCCCCCTGCAGATCCCGCCGGTCTTCCCCAAATTGCAGCTCCGGCCTTGCTTGCTAGATTTTGGTATGTGGCAGCCTTAAACCATTGTTTTTAAGCTTGATTAAGGTAGAATTAGCTTGATTAGTTTGCTGCCGTGTGATGTCTGAATTTGACAGAAAATTGGGGATAATTCCGGTAGCTTTAGGATGAGATTTAAGCATTGATTCAAGTGGGATTTATGTGATTGAGTGTTAATTGCTTGTTGTGATTTTTGGAGAGAAAATCCTGTGGAATTATCTAGTGTTTTGGCCAAATTGTGGAAGTCGGAGTTACTGTTCACGTCGTGAGCACTGTTCACGGGTACTGTTCATAGGCACTGTTCACACCCCGAGAGTCGACAATTAACGGGGATTTAAATGATTAGTTTGTGATATAAGAACGAATTTGGAGACATTTGATCATGTGGAGATTTATGGAAATAGCATTGTGATTAGGAATGATCCTAATGATGATTTCAGCTTGAATTTGTGATAGTCCGATATTAATTCTGAGGTGTTTTGATTAGGTTCCCGATCGTTCTGTCAGTTAGTGCGTGAATTGAGTGCTCGGTTGTATGCGAGTGAGGTAAGTAAATTTATGGTAATGCCCGTACTGTTTTAAAAGCATGTTTTGATTTGTTTTTGAAGTGGTGGCGGGACTGAACCCGTTTTACACGAGCATGATGGATTTGAAGTGAAATGTCTTATGCTTTTCATTAAATTGAGCATGCCTACTTGAAATTTAAGTAACTGTCCTGATGATCCGAAAGTGATTGTGAAATGTGATTTTCCTGTTAACTTCTGCCTGTTTTGTCTCCGATATGGTCGTGTAATCGTGACCCCGCTAGTGGGGGAGGTTACAAACGCTAGCACATGTCGACATGTTCCTGATAGAACCGGTTCATTCCTGTAATCCTGCTAGTGGGAGTTAAACACTAGCAATTCCTGTTTGCCTGCCAGTGGGAACTGGCCATGACCTATAGAGGAGACGTCTATTTCGTGCCCGTACTGTATCCGTTTTTCGTGATTATACTTGTTGGCATGCTTTAAGTTTGATAAAGGGCACTCCAT